ATATATACTCTGTTTTTTTATTTATTTAAAGTTAAAAGATATTAAAATAAGTAATTTTAAAATTTATAACTAAAATAGAAATTTTAGAAATGAATCCCAAAAATACCCAAATGAAAATTTAAAAAATAAAATAGAAAAGCTGTAATTTGCATTTCGGCGCGTGTGGCCCACGGAAAGAGAGTTGCGAGTCGGTCATCTCCCGAGCAGCGCGCGAAGGAATGTAATAACCACCGACAATTTCATACCCCATCGGACGGATAATATTGATCCACGTGTCTAACAGTCCCAAAACGCGTTCCCGATTTCCAATCCTGTACGACGCAAGCAGGACACACACACACCTTAGCTTAGCTTAGCTTAATTTCTTTTATTATTTAAATTTTAAAACAAAAGTCAAATTTATAATTAAAGCTTCGGAAAATACTTCTCCCAGGAATTAAATAAAAATATTATATATCGTTTTAATTAAATTTAAAAAATTAATATTTATTGCTAAAAAAAAGTTAGCATTATTTTATAAATTTTGAACATTATTATTATTATTATTTATTTAAACACTAAATTTGTTTAGTATTTAAAAATATATAAAACTAAAATATTTTAGTTTAATTAATTTTTAATTATTATTAAGAGTAAGTAATTAAATGAACAGAACACTGGTTGTTGTTCCAGTATATAACAAACGCCTTCGTTTTCATTCTCTTACCATTTTCTATCTCACACTGCAAAAGAGGGACGACCGTCGGAGCTTCTCTCTCTTTGTCTTCGTGCTACAATGGAGATTTTCTACTTTCTGGTGTTTGGAGCATTGTCTGTAGTTGTTGCAGCTCTGGAGCTCAGCAAATCCAACAAGGATAGGATCAATACGCCCTCCGCTTTCAATGCTTTCAAGAACAATTACCTTTTTGTTTACTCTCTTATGATGGGTGCGTATTCTGATTTTTAATTTCTTTCCAGATCTGCTCGCATTCTTCACTTGGATCGGTTTAGTTCTTTTCAATTCATGTTTTCAACTGTGATTGCTTCGTTTCCTGTTTGTGCCTTGTGTGAATCTGTGTGTGTGTGTCGACCTGATGCCGTTCGATATGATCTGAATTTATTCGGTTCTTGACTGTTGTGTAGTTACTGTTTTGTTTCGATCTGTGTTTTTGTCGTGATTGAGAGGCTTTCGTTGAGGAATTTGGAGTAGATAGGGCGTTATTTGGTACTAATTAGAGAGGCAATTGGTTGCCGATAGGTTGCTAGGAAGTGTATCGGAGGTGCCGATTTTTCCTTTCCTCTTCTCTCTCTTTGGTTAAGCGTTGGATCTGGTTCCACCGACGGTTCATGATATGAAATGATTGCTAGATTCTCGTTTCTTCTAAGTGCATAATGGCATTGTTATTTTAATTTTTCTCTTGGTAGTAATTTTGTGGCTATAATCTCGATTCTTCTGGCACGGTTGATGTTGTTTTACCTATGAGCCACGAGGTGTGGTTTGCTCCTTATATCTTCTACATTTTGATTTATTTATTTTTGGTTTTACCTTGCAAGTTTGTACTTGTTAAATGTTATGAGCATCAATAGTATGTCGATAGAAAGTAAAAGATTATGTATAATGATTGATCTAATGTATTATTTATTGTTCATGTGGCAACAGCTGGGGACTGGTTGCAGGGCCCATACGTATACTTCCTTTACAGTCAGTATGGCTTTGATAAAGGAGAGATTGGTCAGCTTTTCATTGCCGGTTTTGGGTCCTCCATGTTGTTTGGTACAATTGTTGGTTCTCTTGCTGACAAACAGTGAGTCATTTTTTACCCCCTAAATTGGTTGACGTCATCAAATTTTATTGAGGGAAACCTCTTTCTAATAGTTGATGCATTTATGTTTTTGAATTCAGAGGTCGAAAGAGAGCTTGCATCACTTATTGTATTACGTACATTCTGAGTTGCATCACAAAGCATTCGCCCGAGTACAAGGTTTTAATGTTGGGCCGTGTTTTGGGTGGTATTGCCACTTCGCTCCTCTTTTCAGCATTTGAGTCGTGGCTTGTTGCAGAGCACAATAAGGCAAGGATTGCATGTTACTGTCTTAAAAAGCTTTTTTTAGCTTGCTATATGATGTTTTCTGACTGAACAATTGGTCGGTCATGTTAAGAATATGAATTATTAATTATAAAATTTACTCTTAACCTATTTGTTTAGACGATTCAATGTTTATTGAACGATCACTAGGTGATGATTCAATGTTCATCCCTTGATAGTAATTTTGTTGCTATAATCTCGATTCTCTTAATTTTCTGCAGAGGGGCTTTGAACAGCAATGGTTGTCGATTACATTCTCAAAGGCTATATTTCTTGGCAATGGTCTTATTGCAATTCTTGCTGGGTTGTTTGGGAATGTACTCGTTGATAGTCTTTCTCTTGGACCAGTGGCACCTTTTGATGCTGCTGCCTGCTTTCTTGCAATTGGTATGGCCGTTATTATGTCATCTTGGACGGAGAACTATGGAGATCCATCAGAAAATAAGGATCTGCTCACCCAATTCAGGGGTGCTGCTGTTGCCATTGCTTCTGGTACTCTCTCAAATTTTCATGCATGTAATTTTTTAGTTCATTACATTTCCTCGAAGCCCAATATCTTTGCAAGGATTTTGGTTTTGCATGAAACATGCTCTTGGACTGGATAAGGATATGCTCACGCATGGTTTTAAGCATTATTCCATACAAAATGTCAACTAATTTTTTGTTCTCCTTTCCTTTTTTTTTTTTTTTTTTTTTCCTTGAAAAGAGAAGAATCTGAACAATGACTTACTTTCTTGACGGATATCCTAACTCATTTTAAATGTTCTATGCGTCAGATGAGAAGATTGCACTGCTGGGTGCTATACAGTCTCTATTTGAAGGTTCAATGTATACCTTTGTATTCCTCTGGACACCTGCACTCAGCCCAAATAATGAGGATATTCCCCATGGCTTTATCTTTGCAACATTCATGTTGGCTTCAATGCTCGGAAGTTCCCTTGCATCTAGGTTGATGGCTCGAAACTCGCTAAAAGTTGAGAGCTATATGCAGATTGTTTTCGTTGTCTCTTCTGCCGCTCTTGTACTTCCGATTGTGACCAGTGTATGTGGAAGGATTGTTTTTCTCCTCTTAGTTCTGTTTTCATTAATGCTAGTTCATGTTTTCTCTGACTTTTCTGGTTGTGACAGATTTTGGTAGCTCCATCAGATGTGAAAGGTGGAAGCATCTCTTTTGCAGGCTGTATCCAGTTGCTTGGCTTCTGTGTTTTTGAGTCCTGCGTTGGTATATTTTGGCCTTCCATAATGAAGATGAGATCCCAATACATTCCTGAGGAGGCTAGAAGCACCATCATGAACTTCTTCCGCATACCTCTCAACATCTTCGTATGCGTGGTGCTGTACAATGTATGCCACTGAATACCCTATGCCATTAGTCATTACATAATTGCAGTCACGAGCTTCTTTTTTTGAGTTCAAGCAGTTCCTAACCCAATTGCTGGACCAAAGCCATCAATATAATTATGGACACCCCATCTTTTCTATTGTCACATACATTTTCCTTGTCTTTGTAGGTTGATGCTTTCCCCATCACTGTGATGTTTGGCATGTGCTCCATTTTCCTCTTTGTGGCATCGATTTTACAGAGGCGGCTTCTGGCGATCGTGGATAAACCAAGTAAGTATATTGTTCAAATACTAAAATTTCGTCATTGCTAACGGCTTGCTATGCGTACTCCCATCATAAAATCGAGTTTTAAAAGCACCCTTTTGAAATGATTTAGGAATTACTAAACTAAAATGTGTTTGATATCATCAAAGCATTTGCAACAAGTGCTTCCTAACACATAATTCTGTTGGACCTTGTTACAGAGACTGGCGACTGGGCACTGGGCGAAAAGAATACCGAGACCGATCCGTTAAACATCTAAGCAAATGCAGAGAAGACGACCACCAGTACTTAATTTGGGAGGTTAGAACATGAACACTTTGATTCATCTGTATACAGCAGCAGCTTCATGAATCAATCTTAAGTAGCTAGCTTGGTTTAATATTTGAAGAATTGCAAAACTATACAAGAATAGTGGTCTGCTCATCATCCAAGGAGAAAGAAGATGAAAGAAAAGTAGACAAAATTGTGTTTCATCAATTTTTGGGCTTCTTCACAAGTCATTAATTAAAGTAGCTTGTTTAGAGATCTCTTCAGCAATTGTCGTGGAGAATATTCCGAGTTCCAACACTGGATTTATCTTAAACACTTGTTAATCAAAGCTTCCAAATTTCCCTTACCTATTTTTCTTGTCAAATCACTGATGTTTTTTTGTTTTGTTTTTGTTTTTGTTTTGTTTTTTTTTTTTTGAGTATCTGCGACCTATTCTTGATAGTCATGGTCTGTGGTGGACTGTCGGCGGCGACAAGCTTGTCAATGGAGTGGTCTAATTTAGACCAATCCATTGGCAATATATATAGGTCACTTGTTACCGTCGTACTTTTCTTGACAGACTTTGTGATTATGCGACACTCACTTTCAACACCGAGTGAGTCAAGCTAATTTAGATTTGCATTTCCGAGTGAGTCAAGCTAATTTAGATTTGCATTGCCTATGGTCGGGCAACATATGTTCACGCCTCTAACCGCATTTTGAGAAGAAGTTCTAGAAAACGGGATAAAGAGATTTTTGAAAGCGAGTTTGAGAGTAAGAATAAAAAAAATTTGTAAATAGTGTTATATAACTCTATTCTAAAGGCAACACAACCGCTTAAGTAGCATATAACTTTTCTGATGAAGTGAATATAACTAGTTGAGCCGTTGATTGCTCAGATTGATTCTCGTGTTCGTGTGCCAAGAAATTCTCGAAAAATAAAGAAAGAAGAAAATTTTGGCCTATCCAATCTCTTGCCTTTGATATTTTTCCCCTTTCCTTGCTAATCACTCTTCTTACCCACCAAACATAGTCACCATCACACCCTTATTTCAGTCCCACACTTTAATATAATTTGGTTATAGTCTTCACATCTCATTCAACAACTTAAAAACCATCTTGGCCACTCATCTTTCATCTCTCCAACTTGCCTTTCATTATTCATTTTTATGTTCATACACACACTCTTTGCTTGATTGACTAATCTATCTCTAAGTTCAGCTTCCATGGCGGAGTACTCGAACACGACGTATAGCTGTAGAAGTTGCCGCAACCCGCTTGCCTCCGGAGCTGATCTCCTTTCCAAATCCTTCTTGGTAAGCCATCTAACTCACAAAACTATGTATGGATTCATTTTCTTTCTCTAACAAACACTTCAACGTTATCGTAATTTGGTATGTTTGATCAATACCCTGACAATAATTTTGCGGTATCACGATTTGGTACGTTTAAATAAAAACTAGAACATTTAGTATTGATTTGGATGTTAATTAGAGTAGCTAGCTAAATTCAATATATGGGTTATTATTACGATCTAGGGGGAGGAGCTAATGATGTAAAGTTTGAACTCGTTTTTTAGTTAAGATAACGTGTGAGAATATGGATTCAAACCCGTGATTTTTTTGGTTATCTAATTGAATTTAGTTCAAATTCTTTAACACGAACGGAAGGAAGTAGTCTCTTAATCGTTGAACTATACTCGTATCGATAATATTCAAATTCTTATACTACGGTTCTCTCATTCATTGCCCTCCGTTAGTAACCGAAGATCAAGGGTAAAACTAAAATTTCGATGCCTTCCGTTTGTAATTTCCCAATCACTACAATTTTTTCTGTCATTTATGCCTTCCGTTACTGTCGAGTTATACTCCCATTCTAGAATTTTGAATCATCGTATTTGTTGTACTAAAAAAAATAACGAAACCCGTTCGATTTCGCAGGCAAAATCGGGAAAAGCGTTCCTATTCTCCCAAGCAAAGAACATAGTGGAGGGCCCAAAAGAGAAGAAGCTGCTGATAACAGGTCTCTTCAAAACTGCAGACATACACTGCAGCATCTGTGGTCAAGTTTTGGGTTGGAAGTATCTCAAAGCTTATGATATCAAGCAGAAGTTCAAGGAAGGAAAGTTCATCATCGAAAGGGCTAAGATCGTCAAGGAATACGACTAATCATACTTACAAACTCGTTTCGAACGATTAATCGACCGTTTACAAGAGTTTTTAAGCCCTTAAGAAGTCGTTTTAAACATATCTTTCCGTCAATGTTGATGGTCGGAAAAAGTTAATGTTTTAAACTCTTAGTGTCACGTGTATTATAATTATCTATGTAAAATAATTTAAACAACATTCGAACGCTAATTAATTACATTATTTATATTACATATAGATTGATCTACGAATGATTTTGGTCATTTTTTCTACGGTCGAAATCACTTGTATTTTTAAACAAAAGAGGTTAGAGAAGTAAATTGGGGTAATTTTGAGTCTTGTAGTCGGGTTGCTTCGCGCAAGACATTGCTTAGGACCAACGGGTCACACGACAGGTGCACGATTGACTTTGTACGCTCCATCCTTTGGCCCTTCGTCTATCGGCTTGGCAGGCAAGCTACCTTGATCCATCTCTGGTTTCGATTCGTTATGCTTAGCACCTCCAACAAGCTCGTCGGTCTCTTGCCGCCTAAAACTCGCCAATCAAGCACAGCTTTACGTTTCATCCTATGTGCCCAGAGAATGCTATGCGTTCTCCACTTTCGAACCTCGTAAAGAGAGAACGTGATCAAGAATCACTACGAAAAATAACCATTTTTGAACGGTGAGTTATGAAAATATAGGTCTCGTTTGTAGAGAAGTGGAGAACATTTTTTCCCCGTCATATAAATGGGACTGAGAAAGAAATTATATTCTCCCACCCACTTAATATAAATATATTTTTAATACATATTTAATATATATATATATTAAAAAAAAATTACTCAATTAAAATGGGTTAAAAATTACTATTAAAATTTAAATTTTTAAAAATTAACTTAGAAAAGGTATAAACTTATTAAATATATTAATTTATTTAAGATATTTTTACTAAAAAAATAATTATTTTTTTAAAAGTCAATGATAATTTTGAATTTTTTTTAAAAAATTAGTTTTAAAAATTTAAGTATATTTTTTTAAATGAATTACAAAAATAAAGGTATTTTTTATTTATTAATTTACCCTTCCAACAAATATGCGTGTCTAGTAAGACGGTTTGGCGCGTGGCTATGAATTCATCTTCATACCAAAAAGATATTGAAGAAATGTGTCTGAAACTGTAGAGCTTCAGAGGTGCTCAAGCATGGAGGCCCACAATCCGTACTCAACCTTCGCGTAAATTTCTGACTTCTTTTCATTGTTCTTCCTCTTACGCTTCCCAAATTCAACTTCTCCTTCATTTTCTCTGTTAATTAATCCCAAATTCCTTTTCACAGTCTCCAAGCTAAGAATGATTTCCATTTCTCTCTCTTCAATTTGTATTTATCTTTGCTTTAATCGCTCATACCTCATCAACTTTCTTCCATAATTTTCACTAAAATAATAATTTCCGGCACAATCAGGTTCTTCTCTCTCCCTTTATTTCCATTTTCCATAATTTCTTGTTCGTTGATTCAATGATTTTTCCACATTTTGGCTTTTCGGTATGCTCCTTCTCATACTTTTATTGGTGTTCCTGTTCTTGTTCTTAATCCTGTTCTTGTTGTTGTTCTTAATCCTGTTCCTGTATTATTGAATCCCTTTTGCTTGAAATCTTCTCTCTGATCCTTTATGTTATCTTATATATTTGATCGCTAACCCCTTTTTGATTATTGATCTTTTTCTTTAGGTTTCTAGGTCACCATTGAAATCATTATAGGTAAACGATTTTGTTCTTGTTTTTACTTTTCCCACCCCTCGTTGGGATTTTGATGATCCATTTATATGGTTTCTTGATGGATGCTTGAATCTCTTTTAATGCAGTCTAGGTGTTTGATTTAATGCTTGGGGCTTGATGGTTGTGTAGGAGGAGAGGCGTCTTGAGCTCAATCTTCTTGATCAATGGCTGAACTATTGGGGCCACGTTTGTATAGTTGCTGTAATTGTAGAAACCATGTTGCCCTCCATGATGATATAATTTCTAAAGCTTTTCAGGTGGGATCTTAGTGCGTTTGATTATCATCAATGCAAAAGGGTTTGCTAATCTCTCAAAATCCAATGAGAAATTCATGGATTTCATGTTTTTAACACAATTTTTCTGAAGCTTTAGATTGCAAATGCCTTTCTAAAACTTTTCCTGAAGAACTTTTCATTATCTAATCTTGTTTTTGTCATGATTTATCTCAATAGGGAAGACATGGGCGTGCTTTTCTGTTCTCTCATGCTATGAACTTCACAGTGGGACCAAAAGAAGACCGGCATCTCATGACGGGTCTCCACACTGTTGCTGATGTGCATTGTGTTGACTGCCGTGAGGTGCTGGGGTGGAAGTATGAGAGGGCCTATGAGGCATCACAGAAGTATAAAGAAGGGAAGTTCATTCTTGAAAAATCAAAAATCGTTCGGGACAACTGGTAACGTCCTGTGGATCTTGTTGAATGCATTGATTCTTATTTTGATGTAAGTTTATTGATTCTTCGTGATGTTATCTTGTATATAAAGTTATCATCGTTCTTGTTCTTGTTCTTGTTTCCTGTTGCTCTTGTATATAGTATATATCTGTAAGCTCTGAACTTGACTGGATATCATTGTATCTTCAATGCTCACCATCTGTGTTAATGAAATTGTGGTGCTTAAAGTAAGTCCTTCTTGCATTGAACATGACCTGGATTCCTTTGATATTGTTGTCTTGCCTTATGGCTCTATAGGTGTTCCGGACGCGTTCTCTTCTTTTAGTTTACATTGCTTTGAGTTAGCTCTCTATAACCGTTCAAGCCTATTGTTAATTGACATTATTCGTTTTGGCCCGTTACGTACCACCGTTAGCCTCACGGATTTTAAAACGTGTCTGCTAGAGAGATGTTTCCACACCCTTGTAAGGAATGCTTCGTTCTCCTCTCCAGCCGAGGTGGGATCTCACGTTATCGATTCTAGCATACTAATTGATGATCATGTTACCTTTTTGTTTAACAAACGCATTACTCCACCTTTCCCAGTTTCTCCTGCTCTGCTCTCTGTTCTATCTCCTTTGCTAGGGAAGTTTTTCCTCCCTTTACAACAAAGAGGTGAACCGCTTTGTTCTAGGTGCTAACGGATTCTTCTCGAAAAGAATGTTACGTTGAAACAGGGAGAGAAGGTAGAGATGAGAAAGGAGGGAGGAGGTATAAAGTTGTTTTCCTAAATCCCACGTCGGTTGGAGAGGAGAACGAAGCATTATTTATAGAGGTGTAGAACTTCTCTCTAACAGACGATTTTTAAAAATCGTGAGACTAACCGAAATACGTAATGGGCTAAAGTGGACAATATCTGTTAGCGGTGTGTTTGGGTTGTTACAAATGGTATCAAAGTCAGACTCCGAGCAATGTGTCAGCAAGGACGCAAGGCCTCTAAGGAGGGTGGATTGTGAGATCCCACATCGGTTGTAAAGTGAAACGAAGCATTCTCTATAAGGGTGTGGAAACCTCTCCTTTACAGTCGCATTTTAAAAACCGTGAGGCTGATGACAATACGTAACGGACCAAAGCGAACAATATTTGTTAGCGGTAGGCTTGTTACAACTAGCTGATGGCATATTAGTTGCCACCGATTTCTAAGCCTCTTAACTCGCCTCATCTCAGCAAAGTTTCAAGCAGGAGGAGATAAAAAGGTTTCATGGTTTTAAAGGCACATATCTGTCTCCAAGGGCTGAATATCAGTTCCATGCTCATTTAACCGGTTTTGGCACTTGTCCTCGTTATAGTTCATGCTATTTCCTTCGCCTCATGGAACCCGTAAAGTAGATATAGCGTGCTATTATGAATAAAAGTGCAGGTATGCTGAGAGATTTCACATCGGTTGGAGAGCAGAACGAAACATTCCTTATAAAGGTGTGGAAACCTCTCCCTTATAGACGCGTTTTAAAACTGTGAGGTTGACAATGATACGTAACAGGTCAAAGCGGACAATATCTACTAACGGTGGGCTTGAGCTGTTATAATGGTATCAAAGCTAGACACCACGCAGTGTGCTAGCTATAACGCTAGGCCCTCAAAGGAGGTGGATTGTGAGATTCCAAGTCGGTTAGGGAGGGAAACGAAGCATTCCTCCTAAGGGTGTGGAAACTTCTCCCCAGTAGATGCATTTTAAAACTGTGAGGTTGACGACGATACATAACGGGCCAAAACAGACAATATCGGCTAGCAGTAGGTTTAGATTGTTTCTAGACATTTTATTCTCAAATATTTTATTTTCAGACATCTTAAACAAAACGTATGTATTTTTTAAATAAAATATTAATTCCAATAACAATAATTTTGATTCTATTTTTTAATATAAGGGTATTATTGTTATAATTGAATTTTCAAGAAATATTTGCTGAAATAATTTCGGGCATTTTTTATAATTTAGTAAAAATAATAATAATTTTAAAAAATCGGTATATGGATCAAGGCCTATGACACGTGCAAGTAAAATTAGCTGGCAAATTGATTTACCGACATGTCGTTTTAAATGATACGCAGATTGAATTTAATGGGCGTTTTTGAAGCTTTGATTAACTAATTGGTGTCGACGTCATTTGTGATGTCGTTCAAGCAGTCCACCACTCGCTCCGAATTCCGATCTCCTTTCATCTAGGAGCCTGACGAAGAACAAACCACCGTCGTAGCCATCCACAAACTCTCTCTCTGAGAGCCCAAATCGGAGATGTACCTCAAAAAGGCATTGTGGAGCGAAGGATTCACGGCGAAGCCCGCCGCCGAATCTTCGGCGGACGATAAATCGGCGTCGGCAACGTCCTCCACCGTCGGGGAATTGGTCAATTCTCTGAACCGCCAGAGGCTCTACCGCGAAATTACTTTTTCCCTTCGAACAGGTCTAAGAGACGCCAGCGCCGAGTTTAGCTTTCTCCGAGTCCGTGGTCTTCGCAGCCTTCTCAAGTCCCTTCGCTCCATCGCGGAGTCCGATTCTACCATTCAGCTCTTCTGCCAGATTCAGTCCTTGCCGGAGCTTCAAGGTTTGAAACTCTCCGATTCTCGTCTATTGCGTTTCTTCGTTTTTGGCACTTGATGATGAGTAAAACTGTGAAGCAATAGAGAAGAGTGAATCATCTAAGTCTTCATTTCAAGTGAAATGTCTAATAGAATCTGTTTTCGTACATTGGAATACGAACTATGGAAATTGTACTGAATAATCGATCTCAGTACCTTTATTTGGTTTGAAACCAAGCTCCAAATTTCGTTTGTGCTTCCACCGAATTTGGATTGCTGAAATTATATTTCGTGTTCAATAGATGTGATTCTTCTCTTTCCATTCTGGCCATGAAACAGTGGTTCCAGTACTATTTCAACAGTCACTAAAGGAGTCAGAGGATGACCCTGTGGTAAATTTGGACCATATTTTTGGAGTGGAACCTTTGAAGATTGCTAGTCCTTCAACCGATGCTGAAGTTGCCCTCGCACTACGAGTTTTGGAAGGTTGTTGTCTCCTTCACAGAGAAAGTACTGCTTTAGCCCATCGGCACAAGGCAATTCCGGTTTGTCCTCTGCATTTTAGAAACTCTTGTGCCATTCCTCTATTATCTTATCGCTTTTGAAGTGCTTGGACTAGCCAACCGCTCACAATTGCATGAACAATCATTCAGCTGTATACTTGATATATACCTGTATTATTGCCCCACGGTGTGCAGCGACAATGTTAAGACATGGGCATCAAATTAATCCGTCAGGTTAATGTTATATATCGTATGGATAAAAGATTGTGTTTAGAACAAGACGCAAAGTCTTGCAATTGAGCTGTGCAAATTCCAACATTTCTTGAGGAATTACAGAGAACCAATACATTACCAGCATACATGGATAAGTCCCCAATTGTCCTGTTAGACTTCTTTGTAGAAAATGTTTGTAACTACTCTACTTTTTAAACCAACTGGCTTTTTTAAATAGTCCTATGGATTGGGCTTGGGTGAAGCCGTATCTCTGTTCCTCGCTCATGTATATCGTCTTCGAGCTTATTTGCATCTTTCTGTTTATGGTACAAAAACAAGATAAAGAATGTTACCTCTGAATGTCGAAGATAAATGAATGATTTGAGGAAATTATAGTATTCAGCCTTCATTATGAGTCTTTGGTCATACATACCACTGTTTTCCTAAATGATTGAGGAAGTCACGTTTCCTCGAGTTCTGGTTACAGAAAGGCCTTTTAGGATCATAATGACTAGAATTTACTTGCTTCTAGCTTTCTTTGATTGGGATTGTGCAATCTGAACACCCAAATTCTTTTTGCAGGTTTTGATGAATATATTATCAATCCGTGGAGTACTTGAACAAGGTGCATGCTTAGATGCGTTGATTTCAGTAATGTTGGATTCGTCAGCTAATCAAACGGTAATACGCCATTTAGATGTTGTATGGAGGTCATACTTTATGATTCCTTTGTTCTCGCACACTCCCTATAGTATTTTTCTTCCAAACTTTGTGTTCAATTTATATTCCTTGAACTTTCGTCATAAACACCATAGAAACACCATCACAAGTCCTATTTTTTCATGAGTCGATTTTCTGAAATATAAAGTTCAACTCTCTACTCGCGGAAAGTGAATTTTTGGTTGTATGAACTGTTTGGCTTGATGAAAAACCAAGGTGTCTCATTGTGGTGACTTTATTTTCAGGATTTTGATGTTTGCAACGGTATTGAGGAAGTTGCATTGCTCATAAGGGACAAACAAATAGATGAAAACCTCAGGTTATTTCCCAACCTCATCTATCAACATATATCTGGTCCTTCCTTTATTATCATTACGACACCATTTGCGACATGCCACGTTCCATTTCGTGGGGAAGAGATAGTCCTCTAAAAAGGCTATCACCAACATGTATTCTCCTTAATGTTTCAATCCAATCTTTGTCTCCCATTAACTTGTCTTGTGATCAGGTTGAAATGTGGTGAGTTTTTACTGGTACTCATTGGACATGTAAATGGGAGGGGAAGGCCTCCTCTAGCAACCATTCATGAAGACATAAGGCGGCTTCTGGGAGAGAAATCAGCCTCATTGATTTGGGCAGCCAGTCAATTCGGCTCGACTCTTGATCCTGAGCAGAGATTAACAGCCCTGCACATCCAAGCACGTCGGGTTCTCGAGTCGCTGGACTTGTATTGAATCTAAAAATGGTAATGTTTCTCTACATTCTAACAGTGCTTTAATAGACTCTTCCTGATGTTGTCTGGAATGTGGCACATACAGTTGTAGTAATTTGTTGTCTGCTTGTTTGCCTGTCTGTCTGCACTATGAGAAGTGCTTTTCGTTGAGATATGGAAAAGTGTGTTTCATTTTTGTACAAAATTTGACTTAAAAAAAGAGAAAAAAAAAAAAACTCTAAATTGGAAATGATGGGAGGTTACAGCCACACAAAACCAATCCCTACTTTCCCTTCTTGAACAATACACGTCTTTGTCTAAGTAGAACTTTAGAACAGTGTGTTCTTGTTTTAGTTCATATTCTTCCTTAACTATGGCTCATATCTGATGCAACTTCTTTCAATTTCACTAGCTTTTATCAGGTAATTACATTTATGCTTTTGCATCATGCAAACATGACATATCGAATATTGACTCAACTTAATGAAGTGCGTTATACAGGATTATAGGATCAAACAATAGAGGGGTCGAAGGCTAAAAAATATCCATGAGGCAAGGCAGATACGAGACCATCTCGAAAAGGGGAGGTCTGGGTGGAAATGGAGAATCTAATCTCCATTTCTAACCCTGTAGTGTACGAGGAGAAATCTCTTACTCTCTTCTTCCCTTTCTCATTTCCCGTTTAATCGAGGATTCTTTGTAGGTCCGACCTCATAGTTTAAGAACAGTCTAAAAGAAGAAGGGCGAGTGGAAACTAGGGGTTTAAAAGGGTCAGATGGTGAACATTTCTTGTTGGGCTTGTAGCTAGCCAAGTCTAGCTGAGTTTTGAGTTTGGGTGAGCATTTTTTCTCGAAAGATAGAACGATAATCATGAAAAGTTGAAGCTTCATAACACTTAGAAGTAGTTGGGAGAAATTAAAATTCAAAATTTACCATGATCCACCTCCCAACATCCCATTCCAATATCATCGATTTAACTCAACTTTTTCAGCTGGAAACATAACAGCCGTCTGGTCATCGCCGCCGCCGCCGTTGGCCGCCATGAAAGAACCAAAAAGATGAGGAGAAGTAGTTGAAGAAGCCGGAATAGGGTGGTGGGTGTCAATCTTTCTATCATCATCAGCTGATGATGATGAAAATGAAGACCTTCTGTTCTTCCTTGAGCCACCGCCGACAGGAACATTCCTTAAAGAGCTGCCGTCAGTCCAATACTTCCGACAAGCTTTGCAAAAATACCTGGGCTGAGACAAACTGTAATTGTTGTAATAACAGAACTTGGTGTTGGCTGAATTGCACCTCGGACACCTCAAAGCTCGTTCCTTTTCTGGCCTTACTTTTCTCTCTAATGCATGATTACCCTTTGAAGAACTTGATGAAGATCCTCCTCCTCCTCCTCCTCCAGCTGAATTCTGAAAACCAAATTCATCCAAATTTCAATACTTTCAGACCCATTTGAAAGTGAGAGGAAAAGAAACAAAAAATGATTTTTTTTATCCTCCTTAAATAGTCGTTCCTTAAATAGTCGTTCATCGGTTGAAAAGGAGAATGAAACATTCTTTATAAAAACCTTTAACTAGAACCCAAAAAAGACAATATCTATTAGTTGTAGGTTTGAACGGTTAGAGTTGGTATCCGATGATGTTTTAAGAGTTAAATTTTGCATACGAGCTTATTAAAATGACAGTAACGACTTTGGATAGGAAAGGATGAAAAATGATTCCATTACCTGTGGCGAATAAGGCATGTCCATGGAAAGGGAAGGGGAAAAGGCAAAGAAACAAAGAGGTGAAGGAAGGAAGATAAAGTGAGAACTTTACATGGGATTACCCTTAACTTCCATTAAATATCACTCTAATTTTCAGGTTGTTTTCGTCCTTTCACACCCTTTGTCTTTTTTTATTATTATTTTTTTCTTTAACATAATCCACGTTTTGGCTCAATCTTGTTGACTGTGGTCGTCAATTTTGTACATCCATTCATCCTCCCAACAACTTCCAATGTTCCCACCATCTTTTAATCTCGTCCCATTTCAGCTTCGATTAGTTAACCATCGTTCTCTTTCTGAGTCACTCTACCTTCTTCATGATTTCATTCTATCGTAAAAATAAAATAAGGTTCGTCTTGGCAGAAGAAAGCTCCCATGTGAAGTTAACATGGTTAATTACAGTGGTAATCCCGATATTTGGTAGTTCTATGCTTGATCAATTTCTGTTCGTGTTTGAAAGTTTTTTTATATATATATATAATATAAAAATAATAAATTTAATTTGACATCTTCCATGGAATAATTCTTGTGCCCAACAACTCATGTATATTAATTTAAGAACAAGCTGACCAATAGCATTCAAGCGACCCATTCAAATTCAACCTTAATTAACAAATTATACGCCTTACATGTTGTGATAAATAATATAAATTTATTATTATTATTTTTTGTTTATTTTTAAATATAAATGGTTTGAAAAAAAAAAAAAACCTTTTAACTCCGGTAGATTTGTCTCCTAATTTGGCTTATTTTAATATATTCATATTTAAATTTATCGTAAATAAAAATTTAACTCGATAGGGTGGAGTAAAAATTTTTATTTTCAAAATATTCACACCAACCCAATCTTTATAGTTTGGACAGGGTAATTTGAGTTAGTTAAAATGTCGAGCCATAAACACGGGAACAAGAAAGAAGTAGAGGGATTTTTTTGTTCGTTGGCTAAACGAGACGGGGATAGTGACTATATTCTTCGTGAGACGGAGACAAAGAAACCTTGCTCCATGGACATCTCTGTTTGGACATCTCTATTTGGAAGGATTTCGGCCCATTATCTTAGCCCATGAAGGTTTCCGGCCCATTATTTTAGCCCATGAAGGTTCCCGGCCCATTATTGTTTAAGGCCCATATGGTGAATCGGAAAGCGAAGAGAAGACAACTGTCGCTGTGATAATGGCGCCGAGGTTTGCCCGGGAAACGAAAAAGCGCGCGAGATTCCCTAATTGGCTCTTCAAATACCCATTTCTTACGCCTTCGAACATCGCGCCCAATTTCCCCATCTCACAATCCGATTCCTAAACGATGCACAAGCGAAGAACTCTAGCTCCGAAACCCACTACCAGTCAGGATTTTGCTTCAGATGACGACGAATACGACGACGTTTCATGTCAGAAGTGCGCCTCCGGCGACTCTCCGGCTGAGCTTCTTCTCTGCGACAAATGTGATAGAGGGTATCATCTCTTTTGTCTTTCCCCCATCCTCGCTTCAGTCCCCAAGGGATCCTGGTTTTGCCCGACTTGCTCCAACCACAAGAAGCTCAAATGTATGATCTGTTTTTTCTTCCCTTTCATTTCATGTTAGTTCCTAGATCTGAATTGATTCGATTTAATGACATGCGTTGTGAAATCGAAGTTGCATTGTGTGTCTCCATCGAAGTGTCTAGTTAGTGTTATCTGTTCGAGATCGAGTGATTGATTTGTTTACTGAGCGGATGGAGAAACTTGTTTAGTTTTCTATTTTTAACATTGCGACATGTATGATCAAGTTCTTCTGTGTTCTGTATATTGTTCTGGTAGCTTATGGATTTGACTAACAATGACCGGCATATCAAATGCACTTGAGATTGATAAAAATTAAATTAAATTGTTGGTTTTCATTTTGTTTGAATAGTTGTCACTGTTATTTTGCAGCTTTCCCTCTTGTTCAAACTAAAATTGTTGATTTTTTCCGCATCCAAAGACCTGCAGACTCCCAAACGGACTTGATGTTAGGTTGGAAAGTGATACTACTAGAGATTTCAGTTTACCTCCATCCTTTTCATGGTTAAAGGTTCTCTGGATCTCAATTGAAATCATTTTCCTTGTATTGTGGTTTTTCAGAGAATCGAAAGAAACGAAGACGGGCTGGTAGCTTAGTACTTTCTAGAAAGAGAAGGAAGCTCTTGCCATTTAATCCGATTGCAGATCCTGCAAGACGCCTGGAACAAATGGCATCACTGGCAACAGCATTGACGGCTACTGGTACAGATTACAGCAACGAGCTTACATATATGCGTGGCATGGCACCAAGGTCAGCAAACTGCGCATCTTTGGAGCACGGTGGAATGCAGGTAAAGTGTAAAGACCCAACATCTTTGTTTAAGGAGAAGTGAATTGAATGTTAGTTATCAGTCCTGGCCATTTGTTTGAATATTGTCCTTGCTTAGTGGAAAAGTTAGATCAAATACTAGAGTCAGATTGCAATTTACAATTAATCACTAAAGATCTTTGTTCTTTTTAGCCTGACATCTTGTGCTTATAGAGACAGTGACAAAACAATTAAATGCTTTGTAGGGTTGTAGTTTCTCAACGCCAGACTATATGTTTTAGTCACTATGGAGTTTTGGGGCTCTTTCTTTGATCTCTTTGGTGATGCTGAAGTCTTTGTGTATCTGTATTCTAGGTTCTTCCTAAAGAGGACGTTGAAACCTTAAACTTGTGCAGAAGTATGATGGGGAGAGGGGAATGGCCTCCCCTTATGGTTGTTTTTGATCCTCGAGAAGGGTATGTGAAGCTGCATATTACTATATTTATTTATTTCTTTCTTTCTTTTTTAGATAGGGAGCTCAGCTCATTTGATTCGTACATGGTCATAGGTTTACTGTGGAGGCAGATAGGTTTATAAAGGACTTGACCATAATTACTGAATATACTGGGGATGTTGATTACCTGAGGAACCGTGAACATGATGAAGGGGATAGTATGATGACATTACTGTCTGCCACTAGCCCATCTAAAAGCCTCGTCATCTGTCCCGACAAACGTGGTTATCAAGTTTATGCAAAACTGTGCCTCACACTATTGAGGACATATTCTATTTATATTGGCAAAAGATTAACTAATAGATCCGATTTCATAGGAAACTAACGAAGTAAGCCTATTCTTATGGCATGACTAACTTCAAGCTATTCTAATGGATTGACCAATTCTAACAGTCCCCTTCAATCCCAACAAGTCTTGTACATGTTGAGATTGTTACAATGTGTAGTAAAAGGAGTTTTAGACAGTGGTTTTGTCAGGATATCAGCTACTTGATCACTTGATGAAATGAACCGAACTTCCATTGCTTTACGTGCTACTTGTTCTCGAACAAAATGAAAATCAACTTCAATATGTTTCGTTCTAGCATGAAATACTGGATTTGAAGTTAAATATGTAGCTCCGAGGTTGTCACACCAGAGGCGAGGAGCCTTTGATTGATACACGCCCAGTTCCTTCAGTAATGACTTGATCCAAATCATTTCTGCAGTAAGATTCGCAATGGCCTTGTATTCTGCTTCGGTGCTTGATCTTGACACTGTAGCCTGTTTTCTGGAACTCCATGAGATTAGATTTGCTCCAAGAAATACAGCAAAGCCGCTAGTTGAACGTCGATCATCGGGACAACCAGCCCAATCAGCATCAGAAAACCCCGACAACATCATGGTTGATTTCTGAATTTTCACTCCTAATGCTAGTGTGCCTTTAACATAACGAAGAATTCTCTTCACAGCACCCCAATGAGCATCAGTAGGTGTATGAAGATATTGACACACTTTATTGACAGCAAATGCCAAATCAGGCCTAGTCATTGTCAAATATTGTAGTGCTCCCACTGTACTTCTGTATTTGAATTGTTCTTCAGCTGATAAGGGTATTCCTTGTTCTCTGAATAATTTTTCAGCAGAACCCATTGGTGTAGACATAGGTTTGCATTTTTCCATGTTTACTCTTTTCAACAAATCTAAGGCATATCGTCTCTGTGACAGTATGATACCATCTCGTGTTTTCTTGACTTCAATACCCAGAAAATACTCAAGACCACCCAAATCTTTTACTGCAAAATCTATTTTCAATTTCTGAATCAACCTTTCGGTTGCTTGATCAGAGGAGCTCACAATAATTATATCATCAACATAGATGAGCATATAGATAGTTATCTCTCTGTTTTTGAGAATAAAAAGAGATGAATCAGCTACTGAAGCCTTGAAGCCTAACTCAATAAGTTTTCCAGTCAACCTTGAATGCCAAGCTTTTGGGGCTTGTTTCAGGCCATAAAGGGCTTTCTTGAGCTTGCATATGTAATTCTTTGGTTTGGCTGAGTCTTGAAATCCTGGTGGTTGTCGCATGTACACTTCCTCTTTCAGAATTCCATGCAAAAATGCATTTTGGATATCAACTTGTCTCATATTCCAGCCCTTGGTTACTGCTAGCGAAAGAATGACCCTGATTGTTGACGGTTTGATCACAGGGCTAAAAGTATCAGTGTAATCAACACCAAATCTTTGCTTGAATCCTTTGGCAACTAATCTTGCTTTTAATCTTTCAACTGACCCATCTGCTTTTCTTTTCACTTTATACACCCATTTACTATCAATGAGATTTATTCCAGGTTTGGGTGGAACTAGATCCCAAGTGGCATTTCGTTTTAGCGCTGAGAGCTCATCATTCATTGCTCCTCTCCATCTTGGATGTTGCATGGCTTCCTGCAGGTTTCGAGGTTCAGTAGCAGTCTCTATGATCGGAGTTGTGATAGTTACAGCGCTTGCGAATTTTCTTGAGGTTTCTGAATATCTGATAGTTCCATCAGTGAATTGTTTAGCTTGTACAATGTTATTTCTCAACCTTGTTCGCATTGGATGTTGACTAGCTGCTTCAGTTGGTTGATCAGACACATGTTCATGAGTTTGGTTTTGAGCATTGATCGAACTGCTCTCAGCTTCATATTCTGCAATTTCCTCTGAACTTCTTGTATTATCTGCAGAAGATAAGCTGACACCAGACAAGTTGTCACTAGCAATATTATCAGTTTGACCATCATTCATATGGGAATTACTAACAACTGGTTCAATATCTGTAAGAGCATTTTCAGTGTAAAAACTAGCAAGTTTGGCTAAGGCTGGAAGTAGAACAGGATGATGTGGATTTGTGGTTTTGTTTGGTGGCTTAGATTCTTCAAAAGGAAAAATATTTTCATCGAAAACCACGTCTCTAGAGATGTAAATACGTCCTGTACTTCTATTTAAGCATTTATATCCCTTATGAGAAGAACTATAACCCAAGAATATACATCTAGTAGTTCTGAAACTCAGTTTCTTGTTGTTGTAAGGCCTTAAATTAGGCCAGCAAGCACAGCCAAACACCCTAAGCATGGAGTAGTCTGGACTTTTACCAAACAATTTATGAAGTGGTGTGTCTTGTTGTATGGTTCGGCTGGGCATTCTATTTATAAGAAAGCAAGCTGTGTTGAAAGCTTCATCCCAGTAGGATAGAGGCATGTTGGCTTGAGCGAGTAAAGCAAGGCCAGTTTCTACAATGTGTCTGTGTTTTCTTTCGACTAACCCATTCTGCTGGTGTGTGTGAGGACAGGAGATATGATGTTCAATGCCTGTGGATTTGAAATAATTGTGTAACCGATGGTATTCACCCCCCCAATCTGATTGGACGGAGCGAATTTTGGTATTTAGCATAGTTTCAACATGTTTTTGAAATTGAAGGAACACAGACTCAACATCAGATTTGCATCTCAGAAAGTAAATCCAAACATAACGACTAAAATCATCAACAAAGGAAACATAATATTTGGAGTTATTTACTGACGCAATGGATGGACCCCATACATCAGTGTGAATTAATTGAAGGGGTGCTGTAGATACATGCTGAGAAGAACCAAATGGCAATTGATGTGCTTTCCCTAATTGACAAGCATTACAAATTGAGGAAGAGGGAATATTAGTATCTATAGCTAAATTATTATCTTGTAGAATTCTAATGGTAATTGGAGATGCAGGGTGCCCTAGCCTTCTGTGCCATTGTTCTTTCGAAAGTTTGGCTGTCAGCAAGGCTTGACTGAAATTATGCGGTAGAACGTATAGGCCATTCTTACATCTACCGTGGAGCAGGAGTTTCTTCGTGACTCGGTCCTTAACCAAAAAATAGTTTGGGTGAAATTCTACAACAGCATTATTATCAGATGCTAGTCTTTGTACTGAAATTAGGTGCTTATTGATTTTAGGAACATATAGGATATGTTTCAGAACAAGAGATGAACCAGAAATTAATGAATTCCCAATATGAGAGATAGACAAACCTGCGCCATTTGCAACCTGAATTTGGTCGGTGCCAGTGTAGCGTTCTCTGGTGGTAAGCCTCTCTAGGTCATTGGTGATATGATCTGTGGCTCCAGTGTCAACATACCAGTTTGTGTCACTAGTGTATCCACTTGTTGCCAAAGCTGCTTGTTTGAGATTATTTTCGGCTTGATATGCCTGATCAAATCTGTGCCAGCATTGCAAAGCATCGTGATTGGGCTTACCACAAATCTGACAGACAATGCCTGAGCTGCTTTGTGTCTTTGATGGTTGACGTCCAGGATTGTTCACAGTACGCCTTGATTGTCCATGACCACTATTTAACTGACGACTACGACCGCGACTACCTCGACCTCCATTGGCACCTCCACGAATGGATATCCTATTGACATTGTTAGCAGATGAAAGTTGCTCAAATGTACCCTTACGCAAGTGCCGCATCTCATAGCTCAGCATGTGAGCATACACGTCGCTGACAGTGTATACATCTGTTCTGGTTGTAATGCTTGTGACTAGAGGATCATAATCTGGACCAAGTCCTTGCAGCATGTAGGCGATGAGTTCTTCATCCTCTATTCGCTTGCCAAAGGCAGCAAGTGTATCACCAAGATGTTTTACTTTACGAAAGTAGTCAGCAATTGTCATGTCCTTTTTCTGGATAGTAGAGAGTTCCATACGGATCTGCATTGCTCTTGCTCGAGATGTGGAAGCAAATTGTCGCTCCAGCGTAATCCAGGCTTCTCGTGCAGTGGTGATTCCAACCATCGTGCTGAGAACCTCCTCAGTGACTGATGAGTTGATGAGGCTGAGTACCAGCTGGTCCTGGGGGTACCAGACTGTGAACTCAGGGTTGATGATAATTTTGCGATTCCCTGTTTCTTCACTTGGTTCAACGGCGATCGTCTGGCTTGGTGCAGGCATGGATCCATCCACAAAACCAACAAGGTTTTGGCTACGCAAGTAGGGAAGGATTTGGGTAGACCACAGTAGATAATTTTCTTGTGTAAGCTTAACACTAATCACCTGACTGATCGACGGAGAAGACATTGTGTTGTTTGGGATTGACATGTCTAACAGCAGAGGCTATGGATCTCGTGGATCTTATTTCGGCTCTGATACCATATCAAGTTTATGCAAAACTGTGCCTCACACTATTGAGGACATATTCTATTTATATTGGCAAAAGATTAACTAATAGATCCGATTTCATAGGAAACTAACGAAGTAAGCCTATTCTTATGGCATGACTAACTTCAAGCTATTCTAATGGATTGACCAATTCTAACAGTGGTAACATTGCCCGTTTCATAAATGGAATCAACAACCATACATCGTAAGCTCATCCCTCATTTCTTTGTTTTTTGTTATTCTCTTATGTTTGAGAAACCTGATGAGGAGGACTAGTTTTTTTTCCTCATTCTATCCTTTTCCTTTTTTCTTTTCTTTTCTCCCTTTTGATTTGAGACTGTTTCTTTCTGATGCAGGGATGGTAGAAAAAAGCAAAACCTTAAATGCGTGAGGTTCAATGTAAATGGTGAATGTAGAGTTCTACTTATTGCTAACAGAGATATATCTAAGGGAGAGAGATTGTATTATGACTACAATGGATACGAACATGAATACCCCACCAAGCATTTTGTGTAACCTTTTAATCTGTAAAATCCACACAATGTCTATAGATTTTAGACACAAGCTGATCAATGAATGTCTGATTAATAGTTTGGCTAGTTTTCTAAGCTCAAGAGTTCATAAGCATGATTCAAATTGCCTCCAATACTGATAGTTGATAATTCAAGAAGCACTAAAGTGTTGGTACAAATTTAGTTATCCAAATATGTCAATTATTACTTTAATTCAGAAGTCTTAAAAAAAAACTAGCTAATGTTGAGTTATTTTAGATATGACTGTCTTGTTTTATGATCAATTGAATGCTTGCAATTGCTAATAGACTATTCCCCGAGTTTTATTTACATTTTGCTAGTGAAAAGTCCACTTTTTGGGCCAGGTGCTGCAGATCCTTCTTCGTAATTTGGTTCATCCTGGCCTGTCTAGATGTATTGAGACGCCAGGAGGGCCTTTGGCTTGGGCTGGAATTTGTTAAAAGAAAACCGTAACGACATTCCCTGGTTCGGATGGGAGGGACATGGATTGCTACTTAAAGCATCAGCATTGCCATGAATTGTTCTTCATCCCGATGTAATACAGAAAGAATGAATGACTTAGCCAATGAATTATTCGGCTAACTGAACTCAAAAACCCTATTCTAAATGAAATCCACATTGAGATTATGTATAATGCAGGTCCATCAGGTTCATTTCTTTGAGTTGCAAACAGTGCAAGGAGCAACAAAGCTGAAAAACAACTCCTACCAACCAAAAGGTTTATAGCTTGGTTGAGTTTGAATGTTCTGTTGAGAAGTATGTATATATCATATATCATATAATATCTAAATGTATATACATGTGCAGGAGGAGAAAAGGACAGCGTTGATGGCCATGTTGTGACAAATCTTACAAGATATGCTGTACGAATTCAGATTGCATTAGAGGTTTGTACCATTGACGCCTCTCTTTCCTTTTACAATCTTATGATTGTCACCATATTAAGGACCACTCTATACTCGCAGTTGGAAAGAAACCACTCGGGTGGTCCTAATTTAGGCTGCCTACTTCTTTTCATTATCATATTTACTCATAAAAAGCCTCTCTTTAGCAGAAGCAATTCAATACATACAGTTGCACACACAACCATCTCATCTCTCTTCCCTGTCAACCATCAGATATGGATCATCAGATGTCATTCCCCCAAGCATTGTCCCACATCCCTCTCTTTAGTTGATGTATCTCTACCATTACAATGGTGGTCCTTTTTTCTGAGTAGCTCATCACTGAGAAAGAAATAATGGTAGTAATAATGTTGTTAATAGGTACTTTATTGTGTTTGGATTTTGCAAGGGTCCATCCTTTATTTTCCTTTTGGCAGCTGCCTCTCTGCATGTATCTGTATTTTTCCGGAGATCTTTTCCCTCAGAACTCAGATCCCAATGAAGCTTTTTCCTTTGATCTTTTCCTCCTGCATTTGTTATTTGATAGAGATTATGTAATACCTCAAGTCCGATATTGTCCGTTTTAGCCCGTTATGTATCGCCATCTGCCTCACAGTTTTAAAACGCGTCTACTAGGGAGAGGTTTTCCCACCCTTGTAAGGAATGATTTGTTCCCCTCTCCAACCGATATGAGATCCCACAATTTACTCCTTTAAGGGCCCAATGTTCTCGCTAGCACACCGCCTGGTGTCTAGCTCTGATACCATCTGTAATAGTCTAAACTCACTGCTAGCAGATATTGTTTGCTTTGACCCGTTATGCTGTTATAGTTAACTAAATTCGAACTCCATTTTCCTCTTGGATATGTCCAACCCATCTCAAAACCCCACTCCATCTTCAAAGCCATCACATGATAGGTCAAATCTGGGACATAGCTGCCCTCTTTTCTTACAAAAAAGAAATTATCCATCTACAAGTTTGTGGATAATCAGTTCATGTCTCCCTTTACAATTCTAGTATACAGGAAAACTATTGTCTTTGAGTTTGAGGTCCCTAAAAAAACATGTCATTCGAACTCCAAATCACTACTCTATCACCTCATATGATATTATAGGACATCGTGGACAAAGAAACAACTTCAAATTCTATATCTTGGTATCATGAGAATACAATGTCCATAAACCTTGAGGGTCCTAGCAAAGCAACATGCTGGCCATGATACATTAGATCATGGGTTGACTGTAAAATTCAAATTGAAGATGATTATACATCACATTACATCCACACACAAGTCATGGGAAGAACAAGGTAAAGGATAGGAAGAGGGAGGGAATGGTTAAAAGAGAAAAGTGGATGAATAGTGTGAGCAGCCTGAGGGGTGAAATAATTAAGAGAAATGCAGCTATCAAAGACCCCAAAGGGCAGCACCAGCTTGGCTTTGTTTGGTGGGAAGCTGTCTCATCCTCTTGTGAGTACAACACCCATGTTTTTCATTTATTCAAATTCTCTTCACTAAGCCGTGGTACTATGCTTTGGATTGGTCCACCTCCATTATTCCCCAATTCCTTTCCAAACCCCATCCCTCTTTTCATCTCCCTTTTCATCCACCCTAATCTAAAACCCCTACCCATTTGGTGAAACTTTGTCAAAAAAAGAAAAAAGAAAACCATTTCCCGTTCGGAGATCCATGGATTATAGACGGTATCTCCCCGTGGCCTTTCACCTCTAAAAGCGTCCTTTACTTAAACCCGAGTTTAGGTAGATGAACAGATAACTTTCCTCCACACTAATAAGTACGAGCTATCACTTTTTTTTTCTTTTTTCTTTTTATATATACGGTTCATACAAAAAAAATAAGTGGGGTCAAGCCCTTACTCTAAGCTCTCTCTGGATCAGGTCGCCAAACAAGTGGTAGGGCGTTCATAGAAGAGAAGGCACCGCCAAACAAGTGGTAGGTTTTGATGGAAAAATACAGGTTTGAAAGAACTCGGAGATTGATTAACATGGACAGCTAAATGACAATATGTCATATTATTGTGTAATGCCAAGTAATTGGGGAAATTTTGAATGAAATTGAAAGAGATAGTGAAGCGTGGTTTGGCAAAGGTGGTAACTTTTCCAAAGGATTTGATATCATTAGTTAACATTATTTGACCTTTTAAACACACTTCCATCACAAGAAAACAAAACACATCTCCAACATTATGTCTCTTTAATCCATATCTTTTGCCTTCATAATTCAACTTTACCGACCTAAGAATTGAGTCGAATCTTATTTTTAATTACTCATTCTAAATTAAATTAATACCTAAATAAGGAAAAAGTATGATTCTACGTCTCTTTTTCTTATCGAAAAAATATAGTCACCAACATAATCAATGATGAAAGCAGGTCGAAAGAATTCATTTACATTTATGTAAAAGAGAAATTCGTAATTTTTATCCAATGTTTATATGAGTATAACTTAATAGATAAGACAGTTTCTATTCTAAAGAGCGAGATTCAATTTTCTATCCTTAATAGTTGAGCTAAAATACATCATAATAATAATATAAATAAAAAAAATAACAGGATTAATAATGTAAATTTATGGAAAGAAAATGATTATAAGTTTATAATATTAAAAACTAACATATTATACGAACTTTTTCTAGAAACATAATTGTGCGTAGAGATATTCATTTAACTCACTTCAAAACAGAGCGAACAAAAAATAAGAAAGACAGCTGAAATTTTCTTTACAACAGAATAAATTTATATGTATTTGAATTTGTATTTTTAAGAATTATGTCGATAAAAAAAGAGTGGAAGGCAACACATCATATTCTTTCCCATTGCTTTAATTGTTGTCGGCAGTCGATTTCCAACATTATTATTATTTATTATTTATTATTTATTATTTATTATTTATTAAAAAGAAACCATTTACATTAAATTGCATGCGACTTTACAATCTAAACGTGTGACCAAATAAATTCTATTTTATTTTATTTTATTTTATTTTAGTTTATTTAACCCATTTAATTAATTATACAGAAAAAAGTAAAATAAAATAATAATTATTGAGCATCCAAATCCATGCATTTAAACTGTTAACAGAATTTGGTTAATGTTTTTATTTGCAAATTAAGCAAACAAATTCCTCACCTCTTTCTCTCAATCTCTCATCCAATTACATGAACCATCATTGTTTATTGTGCCCTAAAATCTTGGTTCAGATTTTGTGCCTTTTCACACAAATATCTTTTTCTTTTCACAATATTTTACTATAAATATATATATATTTTTTTTATTTTTTTAAAAAAAAAAAATAAATAAATTAAAAAAAAAACCAACTAAATCCATAAAATTTTCATTTACTCCAACCCAACAGACTCTTTTTGGGTTGACTTTTTTTTTAACCGGTATTTAAATTAATTTCAAGAAAAATTCTCTGAATCTATTACATTTAATTATTAATGTAATTTGTATAATATTAAATTTTTCGGTTGGTGGGCACCGTGACTTGATATCTGATCGGTAGATTATTAATTTAAATCTTTTTAAACGTGTTAGATTAATTTTAAGATGGAATGAATTATTTGTTGAATTGAAAATATTTTGATAATTAAATAAAAATGAATTATAACGGGAGAAAATACAAAACCATGTGCTAAGCTAATGCATGGTTGGCTGATTGATTGAGCTTTTGGGTTAACCAAAAAACATAAACCCTTATATTATATTATATTTAGTATAATATTATAAATTAAAAAAAAAAAAAAAAAAAAAAAAAGAAGAAAATTAATTGAAGCCAAGGGGCAATGATGACTTTAAACTCATCATGCTTTCTTCTTAAACCCACTTTTCTTTTCCAACTTTTTCATATATTTTTTATTTTTTAAAAAGAAGAAAATATATTTCTGAATTTGAGTTAGGTTAATTTAAATTATTCGAATTATTCGAAGTTTTATTTTAATAAAACTAATATTATTTATTTATTTATGAACATTTAATTAAAATTTACCGCTCAATTTCATTAAATATTTTGAAATTCCACTTTTAAAAATTATTTTTAAAAGTGGTTGAAGAATAAATAATAAATAAAAATTAAATAAATACATGCTTATACAAATTATATCGTGAGAAAAATATATATTTTATTATTAACAATAAATTCAAATTTGTTCGATTTAATCCCACCCATAAACTAAATTAATTCATAAAATTTATTATTTTAATATATATATATATATCCAACCAAGCTTTTTCTAAAAAAAAATTTAAAAAAAACAAAAAAAAATAGTTATCCTACAATTTTTATAATTTAGTCTTTTTTTTATTTATATAATTCATTATTTTATATATCTACGATAAATAAAAAATAAATTAATCTCTCATATATAGATATTTTTTTTTGATAAATAATAAGAACACGATGCCATAATATTTTATGTGTCTCTAAAATAAAAAATTTAAAGTCAACATTATTTCGAATTTCTCGATTGAGTAAATTAATTTTATTTTCCTTCAATAAATTAATATAAATATAAAACTTTATTTGAATTTAAAAAAGTAAATAGGGATTGATATCATGTGCCCTAAAGTTTATTGTTTCATTTAATTAATTATTTTAATTAATAATTATGTTTGTCCTTTTTCTATTCACTTTACTTCTTTTCTTCAATTAGAAACCAATTTTTGTCTCATATTAGCCACTTTTTAAGTAATTTGTACAATAAAGATGATGACAAATTTTTTGAGATGATGATCCAAATGCTAAAAGAACGGATTTTAACTCGAGTGTTCCTAAATTGTTACGTTAATTGGGAACACGGGTAGGTTTAACTTTTAGAGCTTTGATAAGATTGTATGGCTTTCTCGAGAACAGACTGACCCATTAGCTAATAAAAAGTTGTACTACTAAATATTTTTATACTAAAATTTATTACCATCATAATAACGTCGGTTTCAGAAAATTATGTATTTCTAATACTACACGAAATTATGTTTACCTAATATCGAAGAATATGATAACACGTAGAATCTCGTAACCTCTAGATGTATGTATCATCACTTTCAAATCATTATGTTAAAAAAGGAGTTCTCAAAAAACATTATCTAGAGCTTTTTTTTTTTTTATTAATATTTCTTTTTAAATAACTATTTTCATTTTTTTTCTCAAATATTATTGATTTCATTAACTAATTATAACGTCATTTTTTAATCTATTTTAAAGATCATTTCAAATATTTATTTATTTATTTTTATCAAGTAAATGATTACAATTTTTTTATTTGATAATTTAAAACTTTAAATTTAATATTATGATTAAAACGTTCGTGACGATCAACTATTATACTGTCATAAAATAAAAAATATATAAATATATCGATAAATCCGACCGAAACAACAATACCAAAGTAAAAGAGTTTGAAAATGGGTTAGAAATTGATAATGGGTCACAGCATAAATCAAAATTAATGTTAAAATTTGAAAATAAAGAGCTGAAAATGATTGAGAACAAGAAATTAAGTAAAAAATGTTTAGTTGGAAAAGCTCAGGGGTATTATCGTCATTATCATATAATTGATTTTCAAAACAATAAAACACAACGGGGAACGTCAATTATCTAATCGTTGACCAGTCCTAATCGGCTGGTCATCGTCCACCGCCAGTTTTTTTATTCTTTCAAATAAAAATAAAAAATAAAAAACTTAAAAACCAATTAAATTTTATAATTTATATTTAATTTTATTGGAACCTTTATAATTTTAAAATGTAATATAATAAATTAACATAATATTTATTTGACCGTAATTTTATTCATTAAAATTTATAATTAACGATAAAAAAAACCATTTTAAACATTTAATTTAATTAAATAGATAAAATTAATTTATTATGTTATAAAAAATTATGGATACAATAATATAATTTGACCCGACCCAGTTCAAATCAGTGGCAGATTTAAAGGGAATGGCCCATCACTATTTTTAAATTAATTTTTATATACACGTGGCCAATTTGTTTGTTTTTTGTTTTTTTAATGGGTTGGTTCGTTCTTAAAATTATTAAAATGTGTATTTTCTTAAAATTAATTGCAAATATATATATAATATTAATATATTGTGGTAATTACTATACTTTTATTTTATTATAGATATTCATTAATTTTTTTATATTTAAAACAAGGATTAAATTATGCCTTTATTAAAGTTAAATTACAAAATTTTAAAATTTTTGTAATTAAATTTACTAATAACCCGTGAAATGTTCATATCTGAAAGTGCTTACGCCTCTCGTCTATCTTTGTTTAAAATCCTCGTTCGAGAATTTGTATAGATAAAGGTTTTTCCGAGTATCGTAGCTCTAATACCAACTTAGTTATGTGACACTGATACATCATAAGTTTTTTGAACAAATCTATTAGTCTGTATTTGGAGTTTAGGAAAATATAAAATTAAAAGTTTAATAAACACAAGTTTAAATTTTTAAAATTATACTCGTCATTTAACAAAACCGAACTAAATTAAAAATTTTAAAATAATAATTATGCACGAAATTTATAATATAATTTAAAATTTTATTTCAACATTTATATTTTCTCCCAAATTTTTGTTAATAAAATATAAAAATAAAGATTTCGAAAAATATATAAAGCACAAATTTATGGGTAATTATGTATTTTAGTTTGATTTATATCTATAAATGGCAAAAACAATGGGACAACACAAAAATTAAATGAAATTAAATGATGAATTTGAAATTTAATAAAAGACGAGGGACCGACTAAAAATTTAGAATCGAATGAGAATCATAATTTTGTGTCTGCCTAATCAAAATCTAAATAAATACAAATTTAGAAGGTACGAGATAGAGTTAAATGATAAAAAACAATTGTGCACGATAATGTTTAAATGGAAGGATAGAGTTTTAATTTATTATAAAACGAGCGACGAAGTAGAAAATCTATAATTATTTAATTATTTAATTCTCATCCTATAAAAACATTGGTCAACCTGAGGACCATAGTGTAAAATTAAAAAATAAAAATAAAAAACATAAATATTTGAGTGAATATATTAATTAATTAATTAATTATTATTAAATTTCTTGGAATTCAAAAGTCAAATGGCGTTGATAATGTAATGGAAAGCTAAAATTTTGGGAACAAATTCCCATCTGTAATTATGAGAATATTAAGGAAGCATAAATATTTCCCACATTTCCCTAAAATAAAAATTTCAATATATATTTTTTTTAAATATTCATTTAAATGCTTTGTATTTATTTTAATTTTTTTTACCCATTAAATCTTAACAATTTTAATTTTATTAGTAATTTAAATGGACGCTTTTTTTAATAAAATAAAAATAGCATAAAATTTTCTTTTATTTCTCGATTTTTTTTTTTTAAAAATAGGGTATTTTTCTAATATAATAATTATAAAATAGAATGATAATTAGTGTTTTATGACTCAAAATTATAAAATTTTTATTTTCGTAAAATTGTTCTGTTTTATTTTTTAATAAATAAGGTTGAATTTTTTTTATTATAAAACATGATAATAAAAAAATATTTTTAAAAAATTTAAATTTAAAATTTATTTTCAACTCTAATACAATTTCTAATAATTTAAATTTAAATATTAATCAACAATTTATTTAATACGGGAATAATAAATAAAAATTAAAGAAACGGGACCAAGAATATGATCTTTGTCTCCATTTTGAGGAGGAAACTTTTTTTCGTTCCTTTTTACCTTTCGTATAAATTAAATGAATATGTCTATTAGGGTCGGGATCGAGAATTTAAAGAGATTAAATTAAAAGTAAAAAAAAAGGATTATTTTTAATTTTGAAGAATTGGGAAATGATTAAAAAGTGGAATAATGGGAACACTGGTGTGGGTCGTGATACACTTAATACAAAAAAATTGTATTCCACAAATTAATCCAAAAATAAATAAATAAATAAATAAATAAATATATATATATATATATATATATATTTATAGAGAGAGAAAGTGCAGAAACATACGAAGAAGCCTTGGAATGTGGTTTAGCGGTCCATGAAACCACGAATATCGAGGAACTAATTTTTTTGTTTCCTCTTTTAACCTTCTTCTTCATTCTTTTTTTTTTTTTTTTTTTTTTT